GACTTTAATGGATTTTCAGTTATGTCCCTTAAGATTAGCCAACATGCTTTTCTGATAAGTGCTGGGAAATATAAATCAGTTGAGGAAGTTCTGCAAAATGTGTCAGAAGACAATTTCCTGATTAAAAAACATAACAAAAAAAAAAAACAACAAGAAAGTGAAAAAGCACCAGGGGTGGACAGTTCCATTTCTAATGCCTAACAAGGAAGAAATCACTGCAGGCCTGAGACTTTCGGGCTACTTGGACTGAGTGGCTCAAGGGAACTTATCCAGGTTTACATCCAAGTTACACACACTTGGAGGAAGCAGATTACTCATGGAGCTGCCTGAGCCATGCATGTGAGATGGATGCAAAACATTCAGGTTTTTATGCACCTCCAACAGGCTTTGAGCAAATCAGAGCTGCTCCCCACCCCAGCCCCCAGAGCAAAATCAGTGCCAGAATTATGTTGTTCAGCAACCAAGTTGGGACTGTCTGCAACTCATTCCCAAATCCTCAGCCTCACTCAGGAGCATTTTCTCCAGTGATAAGGCTCCATCAGGAAACACAGCTGGATGGAGGAAGGAAATTCTGAGAAGCAAAAAAAATAGTGGGGGTTCCAGGAAGTTCAACCAGATAGGAACTAATGGAATTTGTTTTTCTGTCTCCCCAGCTCCCAGTGTTCCTAAGCAAGTGAGAAAATCACAGGGAAAAGTGGGGGCAAAAAACAAGTCTGGCAGATCTTACCCTGCAAAACAGGTCCTCACTGCAGGTCTCCAGAGAGCATCATAATTACAATTCAATATTTTCGATCACTTGCTCTCCCTGGGAAAAACTGCAGACGTTTTCAATTTAGGTCCACTCTGAAGCCCAGCCATTGTTTTCTTCCCCACCTCGTTTTTTTCACTTGTATTTTTTTTTTTTTTGTATTAAACAAAGGTCCCTATGTAGTTTATTAAGGAGGTTTAACTTGGACACATGATTTATCAAAAATAATTTTTAAAAAAGGACAATTATGTTGAACATTCAGGAGAATTAAAGGTTGCAATTGCTTCTGATTAGTAACACATATCCCAGAACCATCAAAACAACACCATTGTAGTTTTATTACTTCTAGAGAAACTCCTTTCAACCCTCAGGGGCAAACAGCATTTCCTTCCACATCCTTTGCAATTCCCTTCTTTTGCAATCTTTACAGTCCTCTGGCCAACTCCCTCTTCCTCTGATAAGGTAGATAATCCAAGTTTCAACATTCCCCACTTACTGCTGCAGAGTTAGTGTGGAACAAGAGAAAAGATCCAATACCAGACAAATCCTTGGCCATCAGTTAAAAAAGGAGTCTGAGATCAGCCCCACAGTTCAGAGAGCTGAGATCAAACTCACACAGAGCATCTCCTGCCAAAGGCTACCTGCACACAGAATCACAGATCACAGATCAAGATCATAGGATGATTACTAATGACCACACAGGAAAAGAGTGGACAGGACTGACTGGAACAGTGACACATCTGATTTGTTGAGACCCTGTTTATCACTGCAGCAGTTCAGGGGGGAAAGATTTTTGACAAGCTCTTCAGAAAAGCCAGGATTATCTTGCTGGTCCAGAGACCATCACTGAGCCTTGAGTTCTCCCAATAATTCCCCTTGGAGCATAAGCACAGATGAAATTCCCTGTGTTTTGCTTTTTTCTTCTTTTCCTAACCTCTAAAGGCAGTTTAGTGTGACACCAGCAAACCAACCAGACCTAATGCAACAGTGGGGAGGTTTAGACTGGATTTAGGAAAAATTTCTTCACTGTCTAGCACGGGAACAGGCTGCTCAGGAAGTGGAGGAGTCACCATCCCTGGAAGTGTTCAAGAAACACGTGGCTATAGCACCTGATGCTATAAACTATATGGTTTAGTGGTGAACAGGCTTGGAGTTGAGGATTGCTTTCCCAGCCTTAACAGCTCCATGATTTTGGGGGCTCTTCTGCTCATTCAGTGATCTCTTTTATCCACCCACTGAAATTTTGTCATGGGCTTAAACTGGAGGCTTTAGGGGAAGGTTGATAATCAAAACTCCGGAAAACTCCTGAAGAAGGTGCCACAGCTGACCCTGCTCTGAGCAGGGTGACTCCTCTGGAGACCTGCAGATCTCCTCCAGTCTCAGAAATTCTGTGATTCTATGAAAAGCAGTTCCTGCATCTTCCCATGAAGTTACACCCAAGTTTTTCTGATCCCAGACTGAAACAAACAGAAATAGGGGAAAAAGAATTAAGCTGAAAATCTTTGTCAAAAGATTAAGAGTAGAATGTTAACTGTTGGGGTCACTCAGTGCACATCAAATGTGTGCTGAACCCTGCTCAAACTCTGAGAACACAGGAGGGAGATGATACCTCAGGAAGAGCCTCAGAGATACAACTTCATGTTATAAAATCATGGAATGGTTTGGGTTGGAAGGGACATTAAAGCTCATCCCATCCCACCCCCTGCCATGGGCAGGGACACCTTCCACTATCCCAGGTTGTTCCAAGTCCCATCCAGCCTGGCCTTGGACACTTCCAGGGATCCAGGGGCAGCCACAGCTTCTCTGGGCACCCTGTGCCAGGGCCTCACTACCCTCACAGGGAACAATTTTTCCCCAATAACCCATCTAACTCTGTCTTCTGTAAGTCTGAAGCCATTCTGTGTGTCCTGTCCCTCCAGGTCCTTGTAAATGGTCTCTCTGCATCTTTCTTGTAGCTCCTTTCAGGTACTGGGAGGCCACAATTAGGTCACCCCAAAACATCTCTTTTCCAGGCAGAACAATCCCAATTCCCTCAGCCTTTCCTCACAGCAGGGCTGCTCCATCCCTCTGACCATCCTGGTGCCTCCTCTGGACTCTCTCCAGCAGCTCCAGGGATTTCTGGGCTGGGTCACGTCCAGCTCTCATCCACCAGCACCCCCAAATCCTTCTCCCAGGGCTGCTCCATCCCTTCATCCCCAGCCTGGATTGATCCTGGGGGCTGCCCTGATTCAGATGCAGAACCAGCACTTGGTCTTGTTAAATCCATGAGATTCCTGTGGGCTACAGCTTTTCCAGGATCAACTGGGGTACTTTCATGTATCATCTCCATTGCACCCCCAGCTGGAAACCTGCAATCAGATTTCATGGATAGGAGCAGTTCTGGCTCCTATGGAAATACAGAAGTCTTTATCCTGTGACCAGAGAAATCAGCCCAGAATTGTAGGAGCTGAAATCTGAGGAGAACTGGAGCCTATCACAAACTGCTGGACACCAGGACCCTTCCTACCTCATCTCCATGTGGGAACAACTCAGTTCCAGGAGAATGGCAGCACCTTCCTGCTCCTGCAGTGAGCTCTGTGCCACAGCAGGGAAATGCCCAGAGCTCTGAGATTTCAAACCAGAAGACAAACAGAGAGAATTCCTGCACTTCCCTTCATGCCACCTTAAGGACCATGCTCTGGAACATGATGGAAAGGGATCACAAGAGTTCATGGGTGCAGTGCAATGAAACTGCTCAGAGCTGGAGGGCCTGAGCAATGCACTTCTGTTCTGTGCAAACTCCACAGATCTCTGATCCATGAACAGAAGGAGAAGGGGGAGCTGGGGGAAGCAATTGTGCTGCCTCTGGCTTCCTCCCCCTGTGGCTGCTCAGCAGCAGCCAGAAGACAACAATGCAGCTCCAAATCCTGTTCCCTCCTGCCTGGATTTGCATGTGGAAATGTGGGTGCTTAGCAGGGAACAGTCTGTGACTTTTCTGCCAGAATTTGTGGAAATTTGGGTGCTTAGCAGGGAACAGTCTGTGACTTTTCTGACAGAAGTTTGAACCGTTTCAGGAAATCTGCACATCAGCCAACCACTGCATCTGTCAAGGGATTGACAAAAACATGCACAAACTTAGACACCCCCCATAAAATCCATGTGATCTACAGTGTTTATCCACAAAAGAG